TTGTAGGTATTCAGAATGGTTCGATAACTATCTAGCTGAATTCCTGGGACCAGACAAAATTTAGGACTCCTACTGCTCCACCATCTTGGTTCTCCCCTTCCCAGTCATAGCCTTCCAGTTTAAATTTGAGTGAAACAAGTTTGGGGATTTCAGAATTCCCCATAATGCCACTGAAGTTCAGATTTACTTTTGGTTAAGTTGATCTATTTAGTTATAAATATGGATGCATAGGGACCATAGACCATAGACCATAAACAAAACATCCCAGAAAGGTGTAGAGGACATTGGGGTGAGGGAGCACCTTCAAGCATTTTGATGACTGGGCTCCCATTTCTTAGAGACTTTTCCCTAGAGCAGCGAAAATTTCTAAACAGCACAGTTTGAACAGTAACAGTCTGGTTCCAAAAATGAGTCAGACTGAATACTAGAACTCTTTCAGTAGGCACAGAGTCTGGGTCCAGACAGGAGTTGGGCCAAAGACCAGCATAGGAACAGTCCAAGTCCTAATAGGAGTCAGACCGAAGACCAAAGAAGTAATTGCTAGAGATGTAAAAACAAGAAAAACCCAAGGCCTTAAAACAATCCCAAATGAAGCCTGGGGCGCTTGAACACAAAACATGGCACTCAAATTCCAGGAGAACACCTACCTTTAAATTCCCGGGTTGGAAAGTAAGCTGCAAACTCACTTGGCTCTGTAGGTGCCATCATGTCATTGCTCACCCAACCTCAGAGTTGCTGAGGATCTTCACTGGATCCCATTCCTGATCACCAAATAGTATTAACTTTAAAAATAAAACTGTCCATTATTTTATCAGCAAAAATGGATTTATTCACGAATAGCAGAGGATTCCAGTCCAGAACAAATAACGGACAAAACCATAGGCTAATCTGCAGAAGGAAGGCGAGGAATGCCCTTTTATAGACAAAAGTGGGATGTTAGGAAAGCTATTACAAACAAAAAAGTCCACTGGAGTAAACTGGCAAGTGGACATATAGTGGCTTTCCATTGGCTGAGTGAGATGTGACCATCTCTCATTGGCTGGATTGATCCTGGAGAAAAGGAAAGCCTTTCTTCCTCCTGCTGGGATAGCAAAGTGGTATCTGTGTATAAGGTCCCTCTTTTCCTGTTGAGTCTGGAATTGAGGAGTAATAGGGTGAGAGAGTTTGCCCTGCTGGCCTCCTGACTCCATTCTAAATGAAATGAGGTTTCCTTTTATTAATTTTCACATTTTTAAATCTACACTGGGGAGGGGGTTGGTTGTTTGTTCTACCTTTATTATATTGTGTTCAGATACTATAACCTTTACAGTTCTTGCATTTTGAATTTGGAAATGATTATGGTTTTATAGAAGTGCTTATGTAATTATTTTTGTAACTGTTCCAGAATTATTTGAACAGGCATTTCTCTGGAAGATGTTAACTTGCAGGCTCTTGCCTTTTCTTTCAAATACAAACTTCTTTCCTGTTAAATATGTCATAATATATCCTGCCTCACTGCCATTTCTGTTAACCTCCACTGGTTCCTAGAACCTCCACTGGTTCCTAGAGCCATCATTTCACAGAATGGAACCCTTCTCTGTCTTATCTTTCCCATAATCCTACATAAGAAGCAATACTTACAGGGGTGACTTGATGGGTCAGTTGGTTAAGTGACTGCCTTTGGCTTGGGTCATGGTCCCAGGGTCCTGGGACAAGCCCCACATCGGCTTCCGGCTCTGAGGGGCACCTGCTTCTCCCTTTCCCTCTGCCTGCAGCTTCCCCTTCTTTTCTCTGTCAAATAAATAAATAAAATCTTAAAAAAAAAAAAAAAGGAAAAATAAAAAACATTACAGCTTGATCACTCTACCAGAATATAATATAAAGCACTAAGATTCAAGTAAAACACATGACTCTCACATCAAATTTTCTTGAATACATAGTCATTTTTCCAGTGACCAACCCTACTATTCTTCATTCATCAAGCGTTTCTCTCCTGGTTAATAAAATTACTTACTTTCACTTGGAGGCAGAGTGGTCTAGGGGAAAGAATATAAATTTTAAGTCTGACACACCTGGATTTTATTCCAAGCTCTGCCACTTCCATAAGTTTGACCAAGTTATTTAATATCTTTAAACCTCAATTTCCTCTCCTCTAATAAAAGAATAGAAAGTCAAGAATTAATACTCCAATCAGCTGCAGGGGCTACTAGCTACTAGCACCATTGTTGGCAATCTAAGAGAAAATAGGGAAGTAGGAAGAGCAAACAAAAAGGCTTTAACATGCAGTTTTAATACAGTAAATCAAAGTTTTAGAAGGCATATGTTTTCAAAACAAATCAGATTTAAGACCTGTTCCAGTGAGAATCCATATTTTCTGCATTCCCTTATCAGATTTTGAGGAAATGTTCATCATATTATAATCTACTAAGATAGATTCTTCCTCAAGCAGAAGTTTTGTTTTAGTTTTGAACTGCCTATTACTAGTTTGAAATGTTATTTTTATACTTAACATTCTCTGTTTTTGTTTTGTTTGCAATCCTGGCAAATTTCTATTTTTACATTTAAAAAAATAGGAGCACACCTGGCTGGCTCAGTTGGTAAAGCATGCGACTCTTGATCTCAGGGTTGTGAGTTCGGTCCCTGCATTAAGTTTAGAGCTGATTTTTTTTTTTTAAGATTTATTTATTTATTTGACAGAGAGATAGAGAAAGCACAAGTAAGCAGAGCTACAGGCAGAGGGAGAGAGAGAAGCAGGCTCTCTCTTGAGAGCCTCTTGGCTGAGTGGGGAGTCCGATGCGGGGCTCTACCCCAGGACCCTGGAATCATGACCTGAGCTGAAGGCAGCTGCTCAACCAGCTGAGCCACCCAAAAACCCCTAGGGCTGACTTTTTACTTAAGATTTGATTTATGTGAGAGAGAGAGAGAGCACAAGCAGGGTGAGAGGCAGAGAGAGAAGCAGACTCCCTGCTGAGCAGGGAGCCCGACTCAGGGCTTGATCAATATATTTACACCCCTGTAAGTATATTGACCTGAGCTGAAGGGAGACGCTTAACCAACTGAGCCACCCAGGTGCCCCAAGATAACTTTTTTTTTTTTTTTAAGAATTTATTTATTTGACAGAGAGAGATCATAAGTAGGCAGAGAGGCAGGCAGAGAGAGAGAGGGAAGCAGGCTCCCTGCTGAGCAGAGAACCCGATGCAGGGCTCGATCCCAGAGCCCTGAGATCATGACCTGAGCCGAAGGCAGAGGCTTAAACCACTGAGCCACCCAGGTGCCCCAAGATAACTTTTTTTTAAAAGATTTTATTTTTAAGTAATTTCTATGCCTAGAAACCTACTTTTTTAAACCTTTGTTTTTATTCATGTATATGTAGGATGGGACATAAAAAAAATCTTGCAGTACTATTGCTTTAGACCTTTCTATATAGTTCTTCTGCAGGGAATCAAATTTGTTATCATGTACTTTTAAGATAATTGGACCAAATAGGCATATATTGTTAAGTGTTAGCCAACACAAACAAATGGAAAGATACTCCATTATCATGGATTGGGAGAAATAATATTGTTAAAATGTCCATACTACCCAAAGCAACCTACTACAGATACAGTGTAATCCCTGTCAAAATACCAACAATTATCATATGGTTTCACTTATTTGTGGAGCATAACAAATAACAAGGAGGACAGAGGGAGATGGAGAGGAGAAGGAGATGAGGGAAATTGGAAGGGGAGATGAACCATGAGAGACTATGGACTCTGAAAAATAATCTGAGGGTTTTGAAGGGGCGGGAGTTGGGAGGTTGGGGGAGCCAGGTGGTGGGTATTATGGAGGGCACATATGGCATGGAGCACTGGGTGTGGTGCATAAACAATGAATTCTGTTACGCTGAAAAGAAATTAATTTAAAAAAAAAAGACAACGACGACTAAAGCTGGAGGTATCAAAACCCCAGATTTCAAGACCTACTACAAAGCTATAGTAATCAAAATAGTCTGGTACGGCACAAAAATAGACACAGATCAAGGGAACAGAGTAGAGAACACAGAAATAAACCCATGTTTATATGGTCAGCCTATAACAAATACTATCTTTTGGTTTCAAGTGATAGAAACTTAAGTTACCTTAAATAAAAAAGGTTAATAATTCAGAGGTTCTTAGGAAGGTTCTACCTACCAAGCTATGGGAAAGGCAAGAATTGGGCTGAGTCCCAGGAGTTACTGGAGTAATGAAACATTGGCAGGATTCTCTGTCACCCGCTTTGCTACTTTTCTCTGTAAGCCAGCTATATTCTCAGTCGTTGCAGAATTCCTTTAAATAGGAGGAGATATAGTTCCCCACAGATTTTATACTCTTAGCCACTACAGAATTAAACATAATGATCTTTCTTGGCCGTGTCAAAAAGCTCATGGGTAGAACTGATGGGGGTGGCATGACGCAGTTGCTCTTTCAGGGACCAATTAACTGTGGAGAGGATGGGGTACTATGAAAGATTCATGTTAATAAGATACCAATCTCTAGACTAGTCAGCTAATTATTTTTACTAACCATGTGGGTGGTTGAAGGACTACTTCTTAGAAAAAGTACTAGGCAAAAGGCCTGTAGAGTCACCTACCATAGGATTGTGGTGGGATCCTATGGTTTTCACCATGTGCTATGTAAGCCCCCAGAGTCCTTGTCAACAGTTTATGGCAAGATTGGTTTCCATAAATAACTTATCCATCTTTGTAACATGTACTGCTTGTCATGTATAAGCACAAACATTGCCTTAGATGATACATGCTCTGTGCAGTAAGAATAAAAAAATAGACGAAACTCCCAGACATGTAGCCACCTGAATAAGTATTCTATATCTTAAATAATACTATAAAATGTGTATCTTTAAGTAGTTGCCTACTTTGAAATCATTTTTAACTTCTCACTATCATTAGAAAGATGATCTTGGGCCTTTGGTGGACTCGGGGGTTATGTAAAGGTTTGTCTTAGTCTGTCAGATAATGGTTTTATTTTTACTTCTTGTTTCAGTGAGGAGGTAGATTTGGAACTTCCGAGCACCGAAAATGAATATGTGTCCACTTCAGAACCTGATATTGGTGGGCAACCCAAAGTAATATTTAAAGAAAAAACAGTCACTTCTCTTGGAGTCATGGCAGATGGAGTGGCCCCAGTCTTTAAGAAGAGAAGACTTGAAAATGGAAAATCTAGAAATTTAAGGCAACGAGGTGATGATCAATAATTATAAAAGAGCTTTTTGTACTTCCTCATTGGACAGCATGGAGACTATACATCTTGAAGCTCCTCTGTGTTTGTTTAAATGCTAAAAATTTAGATTTATTCTAAATGTATTTTATGTGAATCTAAAATAAATCTTTTTTCATGTGAAACTTATTTTTGCTCCTAAAATGGAAGCCTACCACATTTCATTGTAATACCGTGTATTATGTTCAGTGTCTAAAAATTGCTAATTATGACAGAATATAAGATGCTATGTATCTGTTATTTAAAACATGGAAAAGCAAGGCTTTTATTCCATTCTTACTCAAAAGCACATTCTTACCCTGCACTGAAAATGCATTACTTTTGCACACTGATACTAACTTATCCAAGGCATAAGAATCAGACCGCATAAGAGAAAATTCAGTCACATGATGGTTCAGTTTTGAGGATCCTGTCAGAAGGCTGTTAGAGAAAGTGTATGTGTGTTAGCTTACCATACTCAGTTTAAGGTCAAGGGCCAAAGAACAGGACTGCTACTCAGGTACTTCAAGTGTTAATGCTTAATATGGAATGAAAATTGGACCAAAGGTAGAAATGTGTATTTTCCCAGTTCAGTTCAAAGCAACAAGCATTGCTTAAACATTATTACTTTAAGCTAGGCATTACGCTAGAGCTGAAGATACAAAGATGAAAGACATATCTCTGTTCTTCATGACTTCCCATGTTAGCATAGTCATTCCTGCAGTCATGTACTCTGTTTAGCAGCCTTATATGTACTGGAAAATAATTTTTAAGGCTTATTTAAAGCTATGTAGATGAAAGCTTAAGAAAAATAGTGTGTCTCTGACTTCAGTAAAGTTTTTAGTGTTCCCTTAGACAAATGGGAAATGTCTTTCTAGTTAAATTGCTTAAAAAGTAGAACTTTCTTATTTTATCCATTTGAAGTAGGTTTCTTCCCTTTATTACTCCAAATTCTTAAAATTATATTTTTTATAAATTGTACAGTATTTAACATTTGGTAGTAAATACTTGTCTTTTTAAGTTTACTAGTGTACATGTAAGAAAATGATAGCTTATTAAAAACATTATAAAAAATAATATTGTTTTTTTTTCCTTCTAATACTTAATAGAGTCAATATAGCATTGGTGAAGCAGTATTTAGAGATTTGTCTTTATATTCAGTCGACTTATTTGGATATTTCGTGAATATACAGCATTATGAAGAAATGTTTTAGATTCTGAATAGCCCATTTGTCATCTACCTAACCAGTGTATTTGGTGCTCAGTTGGAGAAAGCAATAAAACCATAAATGAAATGCTGCTTCATGTTACCCCCATTTAGCTCATACAAAAAATGCAAAGAACACAGCTTATCATCAGGAGCTTGGGAAGATGGTGGCATAGGAGGCCCCTGAGCTCTCCCTGTCCCACATTTACAACTAGATATCATCCACATCCAAGTCAATAAACAGGAGAACAATCCAAAGACTGGCAGAACAGAATCCACAACTAACTACAGAGAAGGAACTGCATCTGAAAGATTAGGAAGGTCAGAAAGGCAGAGGGAGGCTACCCTGGGAAGGAGGCAGAGAAATGGGCCTTGGCATCAGGGAGCTCGCATGGGGGAGGTTAATCCCCATAAGGTTTGGCTTTAAAAATCAGAGAGGCTGAGTTCTAGGAGTTTGTAAAACCAGTGGGACTTGGAGCCTGGAGCTTTAAAAGTCAACTAACAGCCCTGGGCAAGGGATAGCTGGGTTTCCACCCTTGGAGACACAGCAGCCTGCTTAGAGATGCAACATTAAAAAAGCCATTTACGCAATGCTGGGGAAACAGGAGACAGATCTGTTCATACTGATTGCAGATTATGTTAGAGGGCTTCAAAAATGAGGGAGCTGGCAGGTGCCATTTTCCTCCCCAGCTCCCAGCATGAACACAGGGCCACCTGAGGGAGGTGGGAGGTGGTGCCGCACGGACACTCGGGACCTAACATGCTACCGGCCCCACACACACAGTGACTACCTTTTCTGAGCCCACTAGTTTCAGCCCTGGGCTCAGCACAAGTTTGTTTTGTTTTTTTTTAAGTAATCTATACCCAGTGTGGGGCTCAAACCCACAACCCTGAGACCAAGAGCTGCACGCCTCCCCTGACAGCCAGCCAAGCACCCCCTCAGGGCAAATCTTGGTTAGACCCTACTCACACTCTGCTGAACTACAAGGTATCTAGCTGCTTCTGCGGGACTCGCTCAGCTGCTGCCCCACACCCAACCTCACACCCACCTTGGCCCCAGCGCACAGCCCTCAGCTGCCATAGCGTATTGGGGGATCCAGCATAGAACTAGAGCCCCAATAGGAATTTTGCTAACACCACTACCCCACTGCCAAGTTCCCAGCAGGCAGGCCCCTCAGAGCTGGCCTGCCTGAGTCCCACAAACACCACAGAGAACAAGCACATCCCCCGACTGCTGTCTGTGCAGATGCCTGCACTAAAAGGAAAAGTGACTCAAACACAGCAGGAGGGTATAAGCAATGCGCATTAGATACCCTTCTAAAATCCCAAATTCTGATAAACAGGGGATATTGCACTGCCAGGCACTCCAGGACCTCTTCTTCATAAAGTCACTACTTTCCAGAGCAGAAGACCATGGTGCCTGGGTGGCTCACTGGGGTAAGTGTCTGACTCCTGATATCAGCACAGGGTTGTGAGTTCAAGCCCCTACTTAGAAATGAAAAAGAAGACCTAGGTGACTTTCTTAACACAGAGAAACAGACATGGAGAAGCAGACAAAATGAGGAGACAGAAATTTATCCCAAATCAGAGAACAAGACAATCCATGGCCAGAGATCGAAGCAAAACAGATATAACTAACATGCCTAATAGAGAATTTAAAGCAATGATTATAAGGATTCTCAGTGGACTTGAGAAAAGAGTGGAAGATATGAGTGAGACATTTACACAGAGATAAAGGAATAATACAGCAGAGATAAAGGGCTGGATAAAATGAGAAACACACTTGATGGAATGAATAGTGAGATGGAAAAAGCAGAGGAATAAATTAGTGACCCAGAAGACAGAGTAATGGAACATAATCAAGCTGAACAAAAGAGAAAAAAAGGTACACAAAACAAGGACAGGGAATTCAGTGACTCCATCAAATGTACTAATATTTGCACTGTAGGAATCCTAGAAGAAGACAGAAAAGGGGGCAAAAAATTTATTTGAAGAAATAATGGTGCAAACTGCCCTAATCTGGGGAAGTAAACAGATATCCAGATGCGGGAGGCACAGAGCACTCCCATCAACATCAACAAAAGCAGATCTACACCAAGACATGTAATTACACTGGACAAGTATGGTGGTAAGGAAAAAAAATCTTAAAAGCAGCAGGACAAAAGTCGGTATCTTACAAGGGAAAACACATAAGGCTAGTAGATCTTTCATCAGAACTTTGAAAGCCAGAAGGGAGTGGCATGATATATTCAAAGTGCTGAATGGGAAAAATCTGCAGCCAGGAATACTTTATCCAGCAAGGCTGTCATTCTGAATAGACAGATTCAGGCTTTCCTGGACAGACAAAAACTAAAGGAGTCCGTGACCACTAAACCAGCCCTGCAAGAAATATTAAAGAGGAATCCATGAGTAGAAGGAGATACCAGGGGTTCACGGCTGGCTCAATCATTACAGCATGTAACTCTTGATCTTGGGGTCATGAGTTTGAGTCCTACATTGAATACAGAGATTCCTTAATTCTTTTTTTTTTTTTTTAAAGGAAAGGAAGAAGAGACCAAAAGTTATGTTATAAAGGTAGGAAACACAAAAACAGTAAAAATTAATATTTCTGTATAAAATTAGTCAAGGAACTCACAAAAAAAAGGATAAAATAATACATACCAAAAATATAGAGAGGAGATGAGAAAAGAATGGATTCAAACTTAACCATCAATTTAATGTAGACCGCTACTGAAGAAGAATTTACATAGAAACCTAATGATAACCATAACGGGCACACAGGTGGCTCAGTTGGTTAAGTGTCCAACTCTTTTGATTTCAGCTCAGGTCATGATCTCAGGGTTGTGAGATTGAGCCCTGCATTGAGCTCCCCGGTCAGTACAGTTAGCTTGTGGGTTCTCTCCCTCCTTCTCCCTCTGCCTCTCCCTCCCTGTGTGCATGTACTCTCTCACTCTCTCTCTCAAATAATAAATAAATAAATCTTAACAACAACAACAAAAAAAACTAAACTAATAGGGCACGTGGGTGGCTCAGTCAGTTAAGGATCTGCCTTCAGCTCAGGTCATGATCCTGGGGTCCTGGGATCAAGTCCTGCATTGGACTTCCTGCTCAGCAGGGAGTCTGCTTCTCCCTCTCACTCTGCTATTATATCTGTCCCCCTCTCTCCCTCTCTCTCTTTCTCTCTGTCAAATAAAATCTCTTAAGAAATTTTAAAAATAAAAATTTTTTAAAATACTAATAAACATGCAAAGAATAAAAAGAAATAAATCCAAATATATCATTAAAGAAAATCAGCAAAACAGGAGAGAATAATAAGAAAGGATCAGAGAAAATCCTCAGAAATAACCACAAAATAAGTAACAATATGGTAATAAATACATATCTATTGATAATTACTTTGACTGTAAATGGACCAAATGCTCTAATCAAAAGATACAGGGTGACAGACCCATCTATATGCTCCCTACAAGAGACTTATTTTAGACCTAAGACACTTGTAGATTGAAAGTAAGGAGATGGAGAAACCTCTGTTATGCAGATGGATGTCAAAAGAAAGCCAAGGGACGCTTGGGTGGCTCAGTCAGTTAAATGTCCAACTCTTGGCTTCAGCTCAGGTCATGATCTCAGGGTCATGAGATCGAGCCCTACATCAGGCTTCATGCTGAATGCAGAGTCTGCTAAAGTTTCTCTCTCCCTCACCTTCTGACCCTCCCTACCTTACTCTCTAATAAATAATAAATTTTAAAAAACACTGAAGTAGCAATACTTATATCAGACAAAATAGACTTTAAAACAAAGACTATAACAAGAAACAAAGAAGGACACTATATAATAAGAAAGGGGAAAATCCAAAAAGAAGCTATAACAAATGTAAATATTTATTCACCTAACATAGGAGTATCCAAATACATAAAAAAGTTAATAACAAACATGAAGGAACTAA